ATTAAAATATACTTTTTTTTAAAAAAAATATATTAATTTTTTTTGTGGGGCAAATGTCCCCACTGTTTAGAACGTCCACTGTTTAAAACGTGGATTCGTGCCTGACCACAGGTGATAAATCAGAAGAGATAGATTAGGATTGGGGGGACAAAATGTAAAAGGAACGTGACCAAAAAACAGCAGATGCAAAAGGAAATGGATATTGAAAGGAGACCACACAAGGCTATCAGGTTCAAATCGTGGGCCATCGTTCATCACTGGATTTAGAATTCGATTAATTAGATTTTTGGTTTCTCTATACATTTAAAACTAAATCTTTATTTACCTCTCTTTGAAAATAACATGTTCCACTCCCTTTAAAATCAATTTGACTAGGTACTTTGGACCACCACATGTCGCCGTAGATATCAAAAAATAAAATTGATTCGTTATATAAATTAAAATATACGCGTTAAAGAAATTTATTTACTATATTAATAAATTTAGCTCACTGGCTTTCACTTAATCAAATTTTAAAGCAACTGCGATGTAAAAAAATAATTAATTAATAGAGTAATTTATTATAACTAATAGAATTGAAATATTTCATATTTTTATATTTTTTTAATAAAAATATTTTAAAAATATCAGATTAATTAATATTACGTTTCATCTTTAAATCTTAAAAGTTTAGATTTGAATGTTGTATTTCTAAAGTAATTAATTTTTAGTATAAGAGATTTATAATAAAAAAATAATTAAGATAAAATTGTAATCAAGATATTTATTTATAAAAATAATAAATTTAAAAATAAATTATAATAAAATTAAATTTTATGATATTTATTTATTAATAAGACAAATTTTAAAAATCAATTAAAATAAACTTAAAGTTTATGATAATTATTTATAAAAGGGTAAAACTTAAGAAGTTTAAATGCTTTTTTCTCTACTTAATTTCCTTCTTCCGTTTCACACTTTCTCTTCTGCACAATCAATTAAACACAACATAACAAAACAATAAAGGCAAAAACAACCTTACCTTTAACCTTTGCAGCATTACTTTCACTGTTTCCTCGGCATCACCGAATCACTAACATTTCCCAATGTCGCCACTTCCAACTCCTTCCAACCTTTGCTTCTCATTCATCATACTGTTCTTCAACGTCTCTTTGATTTTCGCCACGCAATTTGACTTCGGAACTTTGACTATGAGCACGCTCAAGCTTCTCGGCGCCGCCCACCTCCACAACAACACCATCAGCCTCACCGGCGACCCCGCCGTCCCCAACTCCGTCGCCGGCAGAGCGCTTTACGCCACCCCCGTCAGATTCCGGCAACCGGGCACCCCTTCTCTGGCGAGCTTCTCCACCTTCTTCTCCTTCTCCGTCACCAACCTCAACCCCTCCTCCGT